TTACAATTTGTTTTACCTGCTTTCTTTGAATACTTTCCTAGTTCTAAATATAAATATATGATAGAGTTTTAATCTTCACTTGATTATGACACATGTCATCTTGAACTTCAAGATGGTTTATTTAGGCAGCTATTTGGGTGATCCTCAAATAGTGTGTTGGTCATTTGTATACTTATACTGTATTCATTTTTATGATTACTTAAATTCATTACTTGTTTCAGTGCTGGAGCTGGTAGGACAGGTACAGTTATTGTAATCGCTTCAATGCTGGACATGGCAAAGCAAGAAGGGAAGGTAGACGTGTTTAATTTTGTGCGAAGCATGAGAGAGAAACGTATCCAAATGGTGCAAACCGAGGTTGTATATCAAGTTTTTTTGTTTTTTGTTTATTGTGTTAAAAATATTAGCCCTACCTATTTTTTTTCTACTATGAATGCTTCTACCAATTATTATTTATTTTAGCTTGACCTACTTTTATTTATTAAATTTACACTTATTTTGAATTTTGACTAGATCTTTAGTTTGATTTGCATAATTTTGATCAATCAATAAACATGCCAATACCCACGGTGAAATCCAATGTTAAGTATAAGAACAAAATACTTACTCTAGTAAACAATTGTATAATCATCATCATTATCATCATCATTATCATTATTATTATTGTCTTTAAATTTCTATCTTATACTAAAACATCAATAGGAGCAATACAGATTCATCTATGCAGTATTACTTGAAGAATTGTTCTGTGGACAGACACAAATTCCAGTAACTGATTTATACCAAGTAATCCATGAACAACAACAAGTGCATGGAACGCACTCAACTTTCGAATACCAACTAAAGGTACTGTACTACTACGGTTTACTGTATGTCTACACTAATTCCTACCGATAGGCCTAGATATTATTCTTCTGGTATTGCATATTACATGACCCAAAACACTGCCAATAGAGAATGCTGCTTGCCTTGTGTATGTGAATTTCAGTTTGTTTTTTTCTAATTTAGTTATTGATTTAAACAGTTATAAAAACCTAATAATGAGACTACTATTATCATAATCTGTTGTCTGCCTACTGGCATGCTAACAGCAGTTAATTTCTCAATTTTTTCTATCATATGCTTTACATTTCATGATTGTATAGCTTTCATTTGTTTCCTTTATATCATCTAAAACCTTTACTCCCTTTTTACCTCAAGGCCGCTTTGCTTATACTTAGTTCAATAATATCTCTCAAAGGACCATATCCTCTACTTATACTTCCAATCCATTTATTCTTTCTGTCTTCTATTGTAGCCATTAAAGTTCTTTTCTCATTTACTCTCTTAAGTACTTGTTCACTTGTTAGTTTGTTTTTCCAATTAATTTTCTCCATGTCCGCTTTTGGAAAACTTCCAGTCTATCTATTTCAATTGTTCTCATTGTCCAAGTTTCATAACCATATAGTGCACACTCTATTCAAGTGCTTTAGTCATCTTCTTTTTCGATTTCCTGTCCATCTGTTTGTCAGTTACTCTCTTCTCTTGTTAAAAGCATTTTTAATATTGGACTTAGTGCTCGCCATACCTACAGTAATTTAATTGGCGTCCCATACTCGATTTCCCTTTTTCAGATTAGGACCTGGGCAAACGATTCATGCGTATGATTTCCCACATCAAATTGCTAGGTTTGGGAGGAGGTGTCTCTGTCCGATAAGATGGGGTTTAGAGGGGTAGCTGAATGGGTAGCTGAACGCTTTAGCTATTAGATGTGTGTGTGTGTGTGTGTGTGTGTGTGTGTGTGTGTGAAATTTGTGAAATTCGAATACTGTTATAGTAACTGCATTAAGCTTTCAAAACAATCTGATAGTACTATGTTGAAAACAAACTGAATAAATATACTTGTACAATGGAGCTTTTATTTAGTACCTAAATAAGTATATATATTAAGTATATAATTGAAGAAAAAATATGTGGTAGACACCATTGAAAATAATAACTGATACCTAGTTGTTGTTGTCAAGTGCAATTGGATTTGAATAATTATTCATTCATTAAACAACATTTATTTCCGTAAATGTTAAACAATATTTATAGTAAATCTTTATTATAACAAGAATATATGTAAATAAATTATTAATGTGAAAACGATTAACTAGGATCTTTAATGGCAGATAAAAATATCTTTAAACAAATTTTTAAAAATTATACGCCATGCTTAAAATATTGGAACCACGCTTCAAAAAAATATTAATGCAAATGTAAGGTCAATAAACAGACTTAGCGTGTCACTTGTTATGTACTAAAATAGCAATTGTTTGTATCCACCCTTTAGAATTTTGTGCACCAACCTTAAAATTTTAAGGACATTTTCTGAAATTTCACCATTTTTTAAAAATCCTGGTGAAAGGGTTGCCATGGGGAACATAAGACAATGAAGAGGGAGAAAACAATTCCATAATAAAAACACTGTTGTCCCTAAAGGACTCTCTAAGTAGAACCTCAGGCGACAAAGGATTCTCCTTAAAATATGTTTTAAATGTAGTAGTAGTGCCTATATATATACATATATGCATGTATATATATTTATATATCATATCATATTATATTATATACATAATTATTTAATAATAGTTTGGGAGGAATAGAATAATATAATTGTACAATGTAGGTTTTAATATTTGAAGAAATAGTAAACACCATTAATAAATAAATAAAACATTCATCTAAGACAATGGGTTTATCAGTCAAAGCTTCCGTGGGTGCCTACGAGCATAATTATCAATGATTTCATCTATGTCTAGCTCTATCTCTCTGTGAGTGTACAATAATATCAGAGCGTTAAATCGATCTTCACCCATGTATTATACAAACGTTGAGACCGCTGCACAACGGCCTTTGCTTCGAGACTTGAGCATGAAGGCAAGGCAAAAGCAGCTTTCTTAGCTATGTTTTTTGTCCGCTGATCGGTTAAAAAACGTATTTCATTTTTATTTTATCACTGGAAAACAACTACTGTAAAATGTTTAGCCAATAAATATGATGTGTGTGAAGAAAACATTAAACAATATTTTAATTTTGACCTTCAAAAAGCAGTTAAAAAGAAATGGCTATGAAATTTTTGGGAAGGGGGGCCTAAAGCCTGTTTAGCGCCCCCCCCCCCTCTTCTAAATCCACCCCTGGAATATCGTATGCATGACTGATTTTGTAAATCACGTGATTGGCTTAGTTCATGCATATTAATTAATCTTGGGTAAATTTTCAAAATTGAAGACAATAATAATAATAATAATAATAATAATAATAATAATAATAATAATAATAATAATAATAATAATAGATGGATTTATAGCGCAGATAAACGAGGTCTCTATGCGCTCGGGACTAGATGCGGATGTCTCGACTAGGATAAGCTAACCAGCTCCCTTCTGCCTACCTACTTGAATTAAAACAGTTAGTATATAGTTCTGGCCTCCTGTGAACGACTATGGACTACAGATAACCGTAGTAGGCTACTGTATACTTACAGAACCTTGCTGTCCGCTAGCTGCTACACAGATTTAGACCTTTAGGGTAGAATATTGTTAAAAAGGTAGGCCTCTGTATGTAATAACTAAAAAATAGGCCAAGCCTCTACTAGGCTAGGCCTCTGACTCCAGAGGCCTTAGCCATCCTCCTGGAAAGTTTTGTTGTATTTGTAATGGTATATCATCTAGTCTAATCTAAGCTTAATTGTTTTTGCCATTGCCAAAATTTGTCTTACTAGGGTCTATTCTAAATATTTTAGGCACGTCTTTTATTATAGACTTTAAACAGTATATACCCGCGTCCTACTGATGATCGTACATCACATGCCAGGCTTCCCGACAACATATTGAAGAATCGTTCCAAAGTTGTCTTACCACGTAAGTTCTTCTATTTAGTAATTGTTATCTATATCCAGAATTCAAATGCATATATAACAGATTATTATTACGATAAGTTTTGTCGAATAGTTATGGTTCATTTATTTATTTATCTACTGTATTTATTTAAATATGTTGTACTCTTGATTCATTTATCTTATAAAGTAAATAAAGCTCGTCCTTTCTTGATGACTCCATGCGCGAATGGAAATGATTACATCAATGCATCATTCTGCGACGTAAGTAAAACTTTCTGAGCAAATCATTATTAAACTGCATATTTTATTTAAATTTTGTTCTCTAAACTATTATTATTATTATTATTATTATTATTATTATTATTATTATTATTATTATTATTATTATTATCATAATAATAATAATAATTACCATTATAAAATACTTTGTCATTTCATGTGAATCTCGAATAAAAAATAATGCCACATTCCACAATCTGCAAGAATGTATCCGTTTTGTTTACATTACAGGGCTACAACAAGCGTAACGCGTTTATTGTTGCCCAGGCTCCAATGTCTGAGCCTGCCGACACAACTGTTGATTTTTGGCGTTTAGTGTTAGATTACAAGACGGACATAATCGTACAACTGAATAACAAAGACGAAACTTGCGCCGAATACCTTCCTCAACGGATGAATGAAGATCTGAAGATTGATAAATTTAGCATTAGAATCAAATCGTCTGAGCAGAACGAGTTAATGATCGAACGGAAAATCATGCTACAGAAGGTCGTGCACAGACTTTATTTACTCAAATATAACTCTCTTCTTATTTTTAGTGGCTACTCAAAAAATTTTTAATACACTTTTAGTTCATTTTTTTCAATTGCTATACAACCCATTAAAAACGCATAAAATAGCCAGTTATTTTAAGAAATGAAATTTAGGCCTATTCAGATTCGTCAGAACGCTACCACAATGTTCATGAATATTTCCTCTAAAATTCTATAACCAACATTTCTGTACAGAACTTTTGAAAAAGGTGTGGGTCGTCTATAATTTCATAAGCTTAATATATTCATAATATTGCGTTTTTTTTTTTGTTTTTTTTTTCAATTCAGGACAATGATGTACAGGAGATTCTGCACTTTGAGTTTCGGCAGTGGTCTAAGGCAGAACCTGTTCCAAATGTTGATTCATTTGTCAGCTTTATTGCAGCCGTTCAATGCGGTCACATTCCTCAAAGTAATCGGCCAATCATCATTCACTGCCTGTGCGTTTATATTTATTTATAATTTATTTGACAAAATCGAAAGTTTACAAAGCACATGAGTAAAAAGCCTTATAATCATATATAATACTGATATAATTATAGTAATCATAAAATATTTATTTTAATTAATTCTTATATGTTTGGCTATTGATTGATATTTAGGGATGGCGCGGTTCGATCAGGCTTGTTCTGCTCTGTGTATTCAATAATCGATAAAATCAAAGAAGAGAAAATTGTGGATGTATTCCAAATACTCAAAACCCTGCGATCAGTTTGTCCTACAATGGTGAACACTAAGGTAGGTTCTATTGGGAAACAATATTATTAAATATGTCTAATTTATTGTAAGAGTAAATAAATGATAATATCAGAAGATAGAAGAAAAAAACTAATAATTATTTATATACTCATCTATTTATTCATTCATTCATTCATTCATTCATTACTATTTTCATATTAGGTTTTGTACGTGTGGAACACCTCCATGTGTGAGTGTTCCTCTGTTATCATAGATAAAAATAATGACAATAAGATTTTAAAGTACGAATCCATTCTGGAAGAGACATGCACAAGATGTTTTACCAATCATTGTTGCCAGATATTCGACATGCTTCACGGCAAAACACGCCATCTGACGGCCAAATTCGGCCAAACTTTTTTTTCGATATCGGCCAAAATTCGGCCAGACTTTAATCCGATTAGAAGACAAAAGTGGGTACATATTCATTTTAAATACTACAAAAATTACACGAAAATCAGCGGAAGAAATTCAAATGATATACACAGAACAATGTTAATATTTTACTGTTTTTCTTTTTTAAATTAATCTATCACCATAAAATACATGTTCAGCTAGCTACATCATAATAATAAATGGCCTATGTTCTTTAGTTGCTGGCATGTAGGCCAATTAAGGGGTAAATCCAAAGATGCCTGAATAGGGGAGGGGCCGGCCGGGGCCGAAAAAAGGGGGGTGGGGAGAGGGGCCGAAAGTTGGGCCAATCTAGATAACACCATCTTAGAGGAAATTTTTGTTTTGTAGACGTCCGAAAATAACCTCTGAGGCGTTTTGGGCGATCAATTTTTCTTTCTTTTTCTTTCACCCACCTAAATCTGCCTCTGCTATTTAAAGTCTCATTATTGAGATTGATCTAAAATTGATTTAAATGTATTAAATATTACGCCGTGGCTAGAGATACGGTACCGTATCGGAACTTCCGAATGCTAAAGGTACGGTAAATGATATTACGTTATTGTTTATTATGTTATTGTCGCAGTACTTAAAGCAATAAATCAATGTTGCTATCAGAATAACTTCAAAGGAGTCTCTGCAACACTTGCTTGCTTGAAATTGGAGGTGCCATCGGACCCGAATGATCACATAGAGCATTTATATGGCGTTCTACATAAAAAAAAACACCGCTTAGTCCTATACAATTCAAGTGCGCAATAATAAATTAATTAAAGTACAGTATTTAATTTAATTTTTTTATTTAAAAGAGATAGAACCTCCACTAGGATGGAACATATACAAAGACACAATATATGGTACAAACTTGCATTGAACTGTCTTCATAAATCTTAAACGAGGATAAAATTCATAAAAACATATCATTTTTTATCCGAACAATTTAAATTATTAAGTGTAACTGTTATCTTTTAAATAAACTCTCTTAAGTCAAATCGGCTAAAGGGGGAACATAGATTAATAAAGTGCTTAGTGCAAGTACAAACAAAGGTACACGATTAGAATCAAATATAGAATTTAAGCTAACAAAATCTACATATCCAAAACAAGTCTACGTTATATGAGGCCTACAGTATATTGAAAAAATGTAAACTTCACAAATTCGGCCAAATATAATTTTGCCGTGACTTTTTAAATGTTACGGCCAGGCAAATTTTTATACGGCCAGATTTGAGGAATCTGGCCGTCAAAAGGCAAAATGGCAACCCTGTTACCAATGATAATATATAGCAGAAGCTAGAGCAGCTTTCCAATATAGTGGAACATCAAATGCATTGTGGGTACACAGAGTGCAATTTTATCCTGTCCGCGCGGCAGCTCTATTATATCAATAATAAAGTTTATTGTGTCCCAACAAGTCGTTCGAACCTATCGAACACAGAATACTGTACAAGAAACTACTCAAGTAACTCAAGATGCTCAAACTTTTACACGCGATAATATAGATTAGCCTAATTTTAACTAATTCTCAATACTTTTAAATCATGTGATCAGTACTTCGACATTGAAGATTCAAATTACAGCTCAACTCAACTTGGTATACTCTACTCAGATGACAGCCTGAATGTTGAAACCATGGTTACTCTGGTTAAAGGTTCTAACCACTAGAGATAAAACACTTTCAGGGATCAACTTGATTATAATATACTGTAACTTACACTAACTTAAAAGGGAGTCCAAAATAAGCCTCATAGCACTGCAAATATCACTCCGCTATGTATAATAATAATAATAATAATAATAATAATAATAATAATAATAATAATAATAATACTTATTTGACATTACACTTTTACAACAGTGGCAGTGCACAAGAAAGTGGCGCAGTCAAACTTTAATGAACAAATAAATAAATCATAAACATCCCTCACCCTCCCCACACAAATAATGTACATAATACACATTACGTGCATACAGTAAACGTACACCCCCACCCAATATGTATATATAATTACAGTATATATACATAGTATAGAGGCATCAATGTGATGGCATCAATGTGACCACACGTTGAGAAAGGTCGTAGGTGCGACCAAAATATTCGTGATTAATAAAAGTTATATGTTTCGTTATACGTCAACTCGGTTCTTCATTTGTTTACTTATGCTGTTCAACTATATATACATACACACACACACATATAT